GAAGGAAGGAAGGAAGGAAGGAAGGAAGGAAGGAAGGAAGGAAGGAAGAAAGGAAGGAAGGAAGACCCAGCTCTGACTAATGCTAACAGAAAACAGTGTGAAAACTGCTGGACTCTCATTCTGTTTCTTCTATTTACAAGTCACTCGGTACTTCATTAGGACTGTGCTGTGACTGTCATCAGTGAACGTTCTTTGCCTTTCCTTGGGTATATTTGATTTCTTAGGTATGTTTTACATCAAAAAGTTGATTTGATTTGATAAAGCCATCATCCAAAGCTTGAGCAAAGCAATAGAGCTAATGTCCTTGTTTAAAAGGACCGTCGCAGCAAAGTGACAGTCAAGGAGCAGTTGCAAGTTCACTTCTCACTGGAAGTGGAAAGTCACTGTAACAATTATGGCTTCATATCCAATGAGCTCCTTTATAATTAAAATAATTTTTAGATTTATGTGTGTGAATGCTTTGCAACATGTATGTATATATGTGCATAGGTATGTATGTATGTATGCGTGCATGTATGTATGTATGCGTGCATGTATGTATGTATGTGTATCCTGTGAGTGCCTGGTGCCCTCAGAGGTTAGAAAAAGAGTGTCAGATACCTTGGAACTGGAATTAAGGACGATTATGAGAATCAACCTCCAGTCCCATGCAAGAGCCACAAAGTACTCTTAACTGCTGAGCCATCTCTAAAGCAGCTCCCCCACCCCCACCCCCCAAGGTTATAATATCTGTATTGAGGTGAAAACTTGTGATCATTTAAAGGAAAGATACTTGGTTTTGTAAAAGGAGAATGACTATGTTTCTCCTTTTCCTGTGCAGGTTAATCATAAAGACTGAATTTTTGCCCACAAAATACCGAGGCTACATGCTACCCTTGTCTCAGGTAAGGTAGAGTGGGAAGTGTGGAGCATCGTGCTTCTGAAAGAACAGGACTGTGGGCTGCTGTCCTTCCAATCAAGCACTCACTTGGTTGACCTTGGGTACTGTCTATTATTTTGGCACCAACTAATGGGCACTGAGCATGTCTAATGCCTGTGGTCCAATCTGAAGATTTTCTGAGCTTGTGCCACCCAGCAGTGATGGATGGTTAAGATACTATACGTCTACGATGGCCTTTTTCACCTCACTGAGACTTCAGAGAAGGAGACAGCTCCTACCGTTTTTGCATGCTCTGTCTTTCTTCCAAGGATGCTGGTGTGTCCAGACCCATACAGCGCCCACTTGGAGGAAGGCACCTTGACTGTGTCTTGGCAGCTGCTGTTCCTCCAGGGTCCTCCATAGATCTCCACAGATCCTGGCTGGCGGTTGACTAGAGGTCATCAGAAGCCGTATCAGTCTTGCTTCCCTGGACTGTTTTTGATGCCCTCAAACCCTAAAGTCCCAACTTCATTAAATGTCCAAGAGAAAGAAGTCCCTCTCCACTAAGGTTTAAAATATTCAGAAATAAATAAAACAGGAGGTTGTTTTGCTTTTTTTTTTTTAACACAGAATTTAGGCAACAACAACCATCAAGAACTAGAAACATCCAATGGTGAGTCCAGTTCTCACCAGGTTTTGTCTTCACTGTTTCCTGACCAGGAATGTATCTTTATTCATAGTGACTGCACTTTATACTTCAATACTAAGTGGTCCATCTGTTCACTACCATGACAGGCTTCCCCAATACCCCCATCTTGTCTAAGTCTCCTTGGGTCATATTGTCAACTCCAGTGGCTGCCTGTATATAGACATCCCTTTGTACCCATGGTGGATTGGTTCTTGGATCCCAGAGGGTACAAAAATCTATGGAGGCTCAAGTTCCTTATAGAAAATGGTATCATATTTCATATACTCCCTGGGTACTACATACTTTCAATAATTTACATGTGAGTTGCCTAATCAAGGTTTTGTAGGCATACAGTTGTCCAGCACAGACTTATTTTTTTAAAAATATCCTCCATATACAATTGGCCAAAACCATGGATGTAGAATTCATGGATATGAATCCTACAGAAAGGGATGGACAGCTCTACTTATGTTTTCTTCTTACTGTCTCCAAAAATATTTATTAAAAACCAAGAACAGCAGGGCAGTGGTGGCACACGCATTTAATCCCAGCACTTGGGAGGCAGAGGCAGGCGGATTTCTGAGTTCGAAGCCAGCCTGGTCTACAGAGTGAGTTCCAGGACAGCCAGGACTACATAGAGAAACCCTGTCTCGAAAAACAAAAAACAAAAAAACAAACAAACAAAAAAGAAAGAAACAAAACAAAACAAAAAACAAACCAAACAAACAAACAAACAAGAATACCTTCCTGAATTGAGAGCTGGTAGCCATTTACCTGAGAGTCACTAGAATATTTTAATGAGTCCTGAAATGCAATGTCAGGATTTTATTGCTGTGAAGAGACACCGTGACCACAGCAACTCTTATAAGGGAAAGCATTTAACTGGGGCTTTTCTAGCTTTATGTTTTTGATTGTTTCCTTTGCTGCCTAAACTTGGCTGTCCTGGAACTCTGTAGACCAGGTTGGCCTCAAACTTAGGGATCTGCCAGCCTCTGCCTTCTGAGCTAGGATTAAAGATGTGCCCCACCACACTAGGACCTAAGCTGTTCTTTAATTCCTTTTAACAAGTTGGAAGCTTAGCCGGGTGGCATCTTGCCCTGAAGAATTCACTCCCTTCATTTCATTTAATCTGTTTATCTCTTTGAATTCAGGACTTAGTACCATTCTACTTCCTGGTGCCCATTTTCTCCTCAAACTGAAGGTTTTGTATTTTTCTTTGCTCAGCTGCTTTCTTTTCATTACCGATAATCACACAACAAAACTGATACTAGACTGTTTTGAGGTTTCCTTTGCCAACACAATCAATCCAAAAACTCTTTAACTTAGCTGCAGACAGATTTTTCAGTCAAGGGCAAAACACAGCCACATTCTTCATCCAAACATCACAAGAACAGTCTCTAGGCCACATACTGACATTCGTTTCTGAAAACTTGAGCCAGGCCTCAACAGTAGGTCACCCTCAGCACCACTGTCTTCCATGTTCCTACTAGGATGGCCCATTGAGCCCCACTGAAAACACTCCATGGCTTTCCCAATCCTAAGTCCCAAAGTCCATATTCAAACAAAAGCATGGTCCAACCTATTACAACCAAACCCCAGTCCCTGGTACCAAATTCTGTCTTAGTTAGGGTTTCATTGCTGTGGAGAGAGACCGTGACCATGGCACCTCTTATCAAGGAAAACATTTAGTTGGGGCTGGCTTGTAGTTTCAGAGGGTCAGCCCATTATTGTCATGGTGGGAAGCATGCCAGCTTTCAGGCAGACATGGTGCTGGAGAAAGAGCTGAGAGATCTACATCTAAATCAGCAGGTAGCAGGAAGGAAAGCTAGCTTGAGTTTCTGAGACCTCAAAGCCCATCTTCTAGTGACAAGTGTCCTCCAACAAAGCCATACCTACTTCAACAATGCCACACCTCCTAATAGTACCACTCTCTATGAACCTATGAGGACATTTTATTCAAATAGTACATGCAACCTTCTTAGACCTTGCCTCTTCACTTTCCCCTGGGACCTGTGATATCTGTGTTTCTATTGCAGGGCAAAGCAAGCAGTTCACCTGCTATCTGAGCTTAAATGTGGGAGCCACAGGGGACCCTACTCTTTCCCTCTCCTTAATTTCCAGACTCAGCTGGCTCATTCACAATTCTTGGACCCTTCATCCAAGGGTTCATTAACAGACCTTGTCACCTTTACCTTTAAAAATGTGTGCCAAGGCCAGGCGGTGGTGGCGCACACCTTTAATCCCAGCACTTGTGAGGCAGAGGCAGGCGGATTTCTGAGTTCGAGAGTTCGAGGCTAGCCTGGTCTACAGAGTGAGTTCCAGGACAGCCAGGGCTACACAGAGAAACCCTGTCTCGAAATAAAAAAAAATGTGTGCCAAATGCATTTAAAAAGTCCTTTTCCCTGTTACTACTGCCACATCATCTGTCACTCACTCTCAAACAGCAGCTGTATCTATTTCAGAAAAGTTGTCCCTTGTCACCCAAGCCATTCTCCATACGTTATTCTATTTTCTTTATAGCCCTAACACTTTCCAAAATAATCTATTTTTGGTGAAATTATCGTTGATAAGATAATCCTCCCTTGGGGCTGGAGAGATGGCTCAGTGGTTGAGAGCACTGATATTCTTATAGCACATATGGGTTTGGTCCCCAGCACTCACTCAGCAGCTTACAACCATCTGTGACTCCAGTTCTAGGAAATCTGACACCTACTGGCCTCCTCGGTCAACAGATACGGTACACAAACATATATGCAGGTAAAACACATAGACACATAAAAATAAATATTTTTAAAAGCCATCTGTCAATTGGCTCCCTAAAGGGTCTTCTAAAATGCTACCTTCTCTATCTCTGTGAGATGGAATGAACATTATTTTTCATCGTAAATGGGTAGGAGTGCTCAGGCTAGTGGGAATGGTTCTATTAATAATTCTTGACCAGCAGGGCCCACAGGACTTGATATCAAATTTATAAACATAAAAAAAAATATAAAGCATTACATATTCTATGGACTGTTTTTGGAAAAAGGAACAAAATACTTACTTGTTGGCTGTGTCTAAAGGATCATGGGAGGCAAACAGTAAATAAGCTATGTCATATCCTGAGAAACAAAATGACTGGCAGAGAGCTGGGAGCAGAGCCCATTCCCCACCCGCCTTGTGCTTCCTCATGACAAGGGATTGTATTATCTGCACCAGAAAACAAATCAGTGTTGAAAACCTCTAGAATATTAGATGTTTTTGTTTGTTTGTTTGTTTTTGTTTGTTTTTTAAACTTTAGTAACACTGTTGACAGGATTTCTGTAGCTAAAATAGACCCAACAATTTATAGAAAACAAATTGAGCCACGGAGCAAAGTGACTTATCAACTCCTCAGATCAGAGGAGCCATCCCGGAAGTAAACCTGGTTGTCACCCCTCAGAACTCCCACTCACAAAGTACACAAAAGGATTGGTCCTAAGGCTCCACAGAAGGGGAAGTGTCAGAGGCAGGACAGAAGGACCAGTCATGTTTCTGGTCTTTCTCCCCAGGTTTTCTGGCTTGCTGGCTCGCTGCTCATCATCAGCATGGCCTCTGTGGTCATCCCCACCATTGGGTGGCGCTGGCTCATCCGAATCGCCTCCATTCCTGGCATCATCCTCATCATGGCCTTCAAGGTGATGCTTTTGAAACTGCCTCTTTGTTACCTTTCTGCTGGACCACAGATCTCTTTTCTCCACAAATGTAGTTTTTTTTTATGTTTTAAAACAGATTTGCTTTCATTTTTAATTATGTATATGACTGTGTGTTTATATGTGGTTATGTGCATGTGACTTAGGGTTTTACTGCTGCGAACAGACACCATGACCAAGGCAAGTCTTATAAAGTACATTTAATTGGTCAGCTTACAGCTTCAGTGGTTCAGTCATTATCATCAAGGTGGGAACATGGCAGCATCCAGGCAGGCATGGTGCAGGAGGAGCTGAGAGTTCTTCATCTGAAGGCTGCTAGTGGGAGACTGACTTCCAGGCAGCTAGGATGAGGGTCTTAAAGCCCACACCCACAGTGACACACATCCTCCAACAAGGCACACCTCCTCCAACAGGGTCACACCTCCTAATAGTGCCACTCCCTGGGCCGAGCATATACAAACCATCACAGCCTGTGAGTATGTCCGACCCCTTGGAGCTGTAATAACTTTCAGTTGTGGGGATGTATGCATCTCAGTTGGCTGAGTGCTTGTCTGGAATACTTGAAGCTGCCCTGGGTTTGTTCATTAGCACAGCATACCACAGCCTGGTAACACATGCTTACTGTAGTCTTGGTACTGAGGAGACACGGGCAGGTAGCTCAGAAGTTCAAGGTCATCCTCAACTATATAGTGACTTGAAGCCATCCTGGGCTACATAAGAAAGAAAAGGAAGGGCCGGGCGGTGGTGGCGCATGCCTGTAATCCCAGCACTTGGGAGGCAGAGGCAGGCGGATTTCTGAGTTCGAGGCCAGCCTGGTCTACAGAGTGAGTTCCAGGACAGCCAGGGCTACACAGAGAAACCCTGTTTCAAAATACAAAAAAACCAAAAAACAAACAAACAAACAAGAAAAAAAAGGAAGGAAAGAGAAGGAGAGGAGAGGGGAGAGAGAGAGAGAGAAGGGAGCAGAAAGAAAGAATTGAGGAAGAGAAGGCCCCTGGGTGGTCATTTATTTCAAACCTCAGTCCAATTCAGGTCTCCACAGAGACACTCCCCCCTTCTTTTTTAAGAGTTGACAACCTCCTAAGTCTTTCCTTTTCTACACTAAGCAAAGTCATGACTACCCTCCACACATCTTTCCTATGGCTAGTCTCAGGGCCAAGCTCCCCTCTCTTCTCTGTATAGGTTCAGAGGATCATTCTCCTTAGATCTGTTGCTCAGAATTACCCCTCACCCATCCCTGGCCCTGAGGGCTTGGGGGTGTGGTTCAGGGGTATGATGCCTACCTTACTTGCAGAAGGCCTTGGGTTAATCCTCAGTGTGTACCCACCACCACCACCAAGATTCACAGCTAGACCCCTATCAGGCCTGTTGCTTCCTCTGGGAAGACCGGTCTCTGTGGTTGTAGACTAAGACTTCATTGCTCTCTCAGCCAGCTGCATCCTATCATTGGGTGTTCTTAAGGCTAGGTTCAAGTGCAGCCTGGAACTGGTTGTATATGAGTCGCTCTCAAGCCCAGAATCTAATACCAGTCATTATAGAATTGATGCATGTGTAAAAAAAATTAAATAAAAATCTATATTGTATTCAAATATCTAAAGTTAGTCCTTTGGTTTTAGTCCAGTGTTTCTTGATCTCTAGATCTCTCTCCCTAGAGGCAAATTTCTGAGTTAGCACAAATTCATCAGAAAGTGCTTGATATGCTGTGTGCCATTAAGCTTGCCAACCCTGCCATGGGGGTGGGGACTACCAGGACTGAGTAAGGCATGGAGTAGTAACAACAGAACCTTTTACAGTCTGTGGAACCTGTGGCTCTGATGCTCTTTGTAATCTGTGCCCAGTTTATCCCTGAATCAGCTCGCTTCAACGTCTCCACTGGGAACACGCAGGCTGCACTGGACACCCTGGAGAGCATTGCCAAGATGAACCGCTCAGTCATGCCAGAGGGACAGCTGGTGGAGCCCATCCTGGTGAGTTCACACCTGAGTAATCCTCCACTGGTAGTTCAGACAGAAGAGGACCTGTGCTCTCTAGTCTGGCTCCTGGTGGCAGAGGGGTGGCCTAGGACGAGCTGATTAGAGGTGGGACTCTGCCGTACTGCCCTGTTGATTACCTGACTTAATTTTTGCTATCTATAAAACACAAGTGATCCCTCTTGCAGAGCTACACATCATTTGCCTTCATGGCAATAATATGAAAGATTTTTAAATTTTTATTTTATTTTCTTATATTGGCTTTGTCTCATTTTGAGAAAGTATTTCCATAAGGCCTAACAGGTTCCTTCAAAAACTTTTCCACCACCTTGCTGCATACTAGGATATGGTTCATGAGTTAGTTTTATTACTTGAAGTATTTTCATAACATATATTTATTTGTGTATATTTATTCATATGCCGGCCACAGCATGCATGTGAAGGCCAGAGAACAGTTTGTGGTTGTCAGTTCTCTTCTTTTACTTTGTGTGTTCTGGAAATTGAACTCAGGTCGTCATGCTTGGTAGCAAGTGCCTTTATCTGCTGAGCCATTTTGATAGCCTCTCTTTTACATTTTAAAGGTGTGTGTGTGTGTGTGTGTGTGTGTGTGTGTGTGTGAACATGTGAATTGTGCAGATGCTAGTAGAGGCCAGAAGGTGGTATTGGATCTCCTGGAGCTGGAATTAAGGCAGTTGTGAGCCATCCAGCATGGTGCTAAGAACCAAACTCCAGCCCTCTGGAAAAGCAGTAATCACTCTTAATGTCTGAGCCATCTTTCTAGTCTCCCCTCTCCCGACCATTTAAAGAAATTAAAATACTGCTTTCCTTACAGACAGTTTGGGAGATAGGGAATTAGTAGTTTGGTCAAAGAATTTCCTCTTTAGACCAGAATAGAAAGAAGGTTTCTTTAAATCTAAGCAAGCCGGTCACATGTGGAAGAGTTGGTTGCAAAGTTGATACTTGCGCCCACGGTGCGTGTGGGAGCAAGAGCAGCTGAGGCACTGCTGCCTGAGCCACAGCCACAGGGCAGGAAGAGTCAGCAAATGGCACAGAAAGGAGAGGAGGTCTCAGTGGGGGGACCACTTGTTCTTGGCGCTCTGGGCAGCACAGCCTTAACCCCTTCATCCTGAAGCCTCAGAGGAGACTAGCACTAAGGAGGGGCCATGCTGGAATGACTCCATGCATTTGCATGGATGTCAGTCATCGAGTTCTGACCCTCTGAAGCCTTAAGCCCAGTTAAAAGGTTCCTTCTGTAAGTCGCCTGGTCATGATGTTTGTTACATCAGCAGAACAGTAACTAAGACATTGACCTCCTTAGGAAGAGGAAGCTTGCATTTGACTCAGCCTCAGAGTTCACAGCCAGTACCCAGCAGGCTTCGGTGCTTCTGAGCCTGTGATGGGACAGCATCCTGGCAGAAGGACATGTCAGAGCAGAGCTGCCCACCTCATGGCAGCTGAGACACAAATTGTGATAAAAAAAGGGCTAGGGACAAAGGGGCCCTACCTCTGAACGTCGTCATCAGTTTCCAAATGCCCTCTAGTTCTGAATACTTCTGTCAACTAAGGAGAACACGAATTATCAAGTTAATTCTTAGTGACTGGATCCACCAGCCAGGGCCAGGTTTTTAAAAAATTTATTATTTTGTGTGTTTAGGTGTTTTTCTCTCATGTATATCTATATTCCATATGCAGGAAGTGCCCCCCAGAGGCCAAAAGAGGGTGTCGGAGACCATGGAACTGGAGTAAGGGATGGCTCTGAGTTGCCTTGTGGGTGCTGGGATCCAGCTGGTCCTTTGCACAGTGCTCTTTACCAAGAAGTTGTCCTCCAGACCCTAGGCCTGGTTTTTAACACATCAGTCTTTTGGGTTTGGTGGGGAAAGGGCTTCAAAACTGAGCTGTACAGGGATGGTCTCACCACACCATACTCCTGGGTAACTCTTGATCTGTGTGATCAGTAACATCAGAGAAATATGTCCTTAGCTCTCCATGTGTGTGGTCTGACCCTCCTGTGCATTTTCCCAGGAGAAAAGAGGAAGATTTGCAGATCTTCTGGATTCTAAATACCTTCGGACTACATTACAGATCTGGGTCATATGGTAAGAACGTAATCATTTCGAGGCCAAGGTTGAATAAGCAGGTATGCTAAGTGTGCCTTTAATCGCAGCACTCAGGAGGCAGAAGCAGGAGGACCTGCGAGTTCAGGGTCAGCCTGGGCTACATAGTGAATCCCTGGACAGCCTGGGTTATACACAGAGAAACTCTGTCTTGAAAAACCAAACCCAAGCCAAACCAACTAACCAAAGAAACAAACAAAAATACAAACAGGTATTTGAAGGATGACCACTCAAGTACAATAGTTCCACAAATACACCCCCCCCTTTTTTTTAAACTTTGTCTCCAGAGTTCAAAGATCATATTTGTTTTGGCTTCTTTAACAGAGAGAGCACATGTACATAGAACTTTAATTATGGCGTGTTTCAGATTGTTTCGTTAGTCTGTATAGGAACTTACATGTAAGACAGCATGGTGTGAACTGTGGTGTTCTCTGATCGAATCCTCTATGGATAAGGGGACTACTGTAAATTCACTTTCAGGGACACTTAGAGGAAATACACACGGAAGATCAAATAGCCTCTCCCGCAGTGCCTTGTCTTTCTGATATCACCCGCCCTCCCCTCCCCCCAAATGATAAAACTGTAAAAAGAGAAAGGAAACCTTAATATTCTACGATGTTCCCGGCTCTTCCCATGACTGTCTGTGCTCACCTCCTGACCTTCGGTAGTCTGGACTCTCTGATTACCCTACAACAGAGACTGATCCTTTGAGCTCGCCAGTGATGGTGGGACAGCCTTTGGAGGACCTCTCTACTGTGCAGCCTTAACCTTGAGTCAGCAAAGGATTCCAAGTAGGCCTCAAAAGATGCTTAATACACAGGAAAGACTGATGACTTTTACCATGTTAAATTAGCATCTCTGGAGTTGGGCTTGGTGGCACATTCCTGTAATGTCAGCACTTGGAGAGTGAGACAGGGGGTTCAAGATTCAAGGTCATCTTCTGCTACCAGTTTGAAGCCAGCCTAGGGTACACAAAACCCTGTCTCAAATAAACAAAAATGTGGTGTCCTTGTGCCACATAATATCAAGAGAAGCCTAAATGGCAAGTTATCAACTAAGAGAAGAAATTTGAAATATATACACACATATACACATCACATTTTTGATATATAAATATATGTGTATAATGCAGTGTATAATAAGCACATAAAATACAAGTGATATATATGTAATTGTCTTTCAACAAGTTAAGATAGGCGATTAAGTTTAAGATTTTTTCTTTTTAAAATTTGTGTGTTTGTGTGTATTTCACTGTACTTCACGTGTGTGTGGCAGAGGATGCTGGAAGAGGGTGTCAGATCTCCTGGCAACATATGGCAGCGAGCCATCCAACATGGCTGCTGGGAACTCAAGTATGTCTCCTTAGGAAGGGCAGCAAACCATCTTAGCCACTGAGCTATCTCTCTAGCCCCAACCACTGAGTTTAGAAAGAGACAAAAGGCTTGACTAGGTACATTATCCAAACTGAATCTGAAGCACATGTTCAGACATGCTTAACCTTAAGGTCACCAAGAGAATAAAAATTAAAACCCTACAAGTTTTCACAAACTCAATAATGGATAAGAACATCTATATTGAAAAAGACCACCGGGCTGGAGAGATGGTTCACCAGTTAAGTACACTGGCTGCTCTTGCAGAGGACCCCAGTTCAGTTCCTAGCACCCATGTGGTAACTCACAACCATTTAACTTCAGCTCTAGGAGATCCAACACCCTCTCCTGGTTTCCAAGGGCACAGCATGCACATGGTGCACATACATGCCTGCAGACAAAACACACATAAAATAAAGATGGTTCTTTAAGAAGACTGCATATACCAAGGGTTTGCAAGTTTGCAAAGTAACTGGAACATTCCATGCACAGCTACCTGCTGTTCAAATGGGAATAGATGGTTTGGAATCCTGTCTATGGGTGTGTTAGTGTTAAAAAAACATACATGGTAGGAGTCAGTAATTGTAGTTCAAAGTTTATTATGTTCAACAGAAATGCACACACGTGTTTCTCCAAAGGCATCTTCAGATGCTGTGGATGCTGTCTAGTATAGGCTGTTTCTGTTTCTCTGTGTCTTCCACACAGAGCCCTTCCCTTCTTATCCCTGCCTGCCATGGTTCTTTTTATCCCCCAGGCCTGGTGAAAGCTTTTGCTAATGATATCCTTCTCATACTTCCAGGCTGGGAATTTCCTTTGCCTATTATGGGGTTATCCTGGCCAGTGCTGAGTTGCTGGAACGAGATCTGGTCTGCGGTTCAAAGTCAGAGTCAGAACCAGAGGTGGTGGAGACCACAGGGGACTCAGCGGAGGGTCTCAGTCCCTGCTACTGCCACATGTTTGCACCCTCTGACTACAGGACCATGATCATCAGCACCCTCGGGGAAATCGCTTGTAAGATTGCCCATGTACCAGCCCTCTTCCAGGTGGGGTTCCTGCAGCTCAGGGTTTAAGAGAAGTGTGACCTCCATGTTGGGGCTCCCGCCTAGCAGAACTCCTCAGGTCTTCAGATCACACTTCTACATCCTGGGTTTGGGCTGTTGTGGGGGAGGAGGGCCTAAAAGAGCAAAGCTTTGAAGTATTCCATTTGATCAATACCAAGATACATTTTTAGTCTAGAGTAGTGGCATACACCTTTAATCCCAATGCTCGGGAAGTAGAGGCCGGTGGACTTATGTGAATTCTAGGCCAGCCTGATCTACATAGTGAGTTCCAGGCTAATCAGGGCTATATAAGTAGTGAGACCGGTCTCATATGAAAAGATCCAGTTTTTGAGATCATAATATAATTCCCTTTCCTTCCCACAAACCTCACTCTCAAATTCATAGCCTCTAGTTTTGTTTTTTTTTTTTTAAAGATTTATTTATTTATTATATATGAATACACTGTAGCTGTCTTCAGACACACCAGAAGAGGGCATCAGATCTCATTACAGATGGTTGTGAGCCACCATGTGGTTGCTGGGATTTGAACTCAGGACCGCTGGAAGTGCAGTCAGTGCTCTTAACCACTGAGCCATCTCTCCAGCCCTCTAGTTTTGTTTTGTTTATTTATTTACAACAAACTTCTTTTCCCCCCTTAGCTTTCGTCCCCTCTTCCACAGTGTTCCCTGAGCTTTAGATGCAGGAGTGTTTTGAAGATGTATCCATTGGGACTGGGCTCCACAACTCTGGATTTTGATTGGTTGTGGTTTTCGGTAGCTGCAGAGAAGTTTCCTTGATGAGGGGTGAAGACTGTGCTTATCTGTGGGTATAAAAATAAATATTTATAGTATCATTAGGGATTATGCTGGCTCGGTGAAATGGTGGTTGTAGGGTCTTCTCCAAGATCCATGACTTCACCAGCCCTGGAGAGTTGGGTAGGTTTCCAGTCCAGGCATGGTTTCCTGCTTGTTGAGTGGGCCTTACCTCTGGTTAGACAGCTTCTGGTTAGAGCCAAGGTATGCGCGCACTATTAGGGTCACTGTGCCTTGGTGGTCATTGTCATGGTTCATAGGCATCACAGGACAGTTGGTGGCTTCCTTCCTTTGGAAGCTTGCATGGTACCTTCTGGTGCCATGAAAGGTGGTCCTCAGGAAGGAGTTTTCAGGTCAGATGCAGCTCTGGTCCTCTGGGTTCTGTGTCTGAAGTACATGATGTCTTCAGCAGTAGAGACTTACCTTCCACTTCTGGGAAGCAGCCAAGAGCAGCAATATATCCTATAATGTTTTGTATGATCTGATTTTTGTACAGTATGATTTGTTTTGTATGATTTGATAGTTTTGTGGGTTGTTTTTTTTTTTTTTTTTTGGTAGGTTCCTGCCCAACAACTCAAGAGAGCTCATGCCTGGTGTTGGGGTTTTTGTTAGATAGTCTTCGGCTCCTGGGGGAGTATTGTCAGCCCAGATGGGAAAAATTCATTTAAACTACATATGTATATGTATACACTGACTTACACACACTCTAGGCTTTTTTTAGGTAGATAGATAATACTATGGTTCTTATGATGTTCTCAGATATTCTTCCTGTTATTTTACCGGCTTCCCTCCTCCTGTATTTATCTCTCTTCACCTGTTTAATTATTTTATTTTTATGGTTTTTGTTTAGATTTTATTTTATGTGTATGGCTATTTTGCCTGCCTATATGTTTGTGTGCCATATTCATGATAGTGCCCTCACAGATCAGAAGAGCATGTTTGGTCTCCTGAGCCACCGCATAGGTGGGTGCTGGGAATAGAATCCAGGCCATTCTCTGCTAGAGCAGCAAGTGCTCTTAACTGCTGAGCCATCTCTCTAGCCTTAATAAGCCCCACCCTGCTTTCTCATTTCCCCCTCAGATCACTCCTGTTCTCCCCTCTCTCCCCACAACAAAGACTTTCCGTGTTCCTAGATTCTGCAGTTCCTTCAGGTTATATACTCACACCTGATCATTTGGAGGTAGGAACCTCATGTCAGAGAGAACATGCAGTGACTACCTTTCTGGGCTGGGTTGCCTCATTCAATATGATCTTTCCTACTTCCATCCATTTATCTGGATGGAACTCTGGAGAAGGATATTTATTGTACTGGTCAGTTTTCTGTGTCAACTTGACACAAGCTGGAGTTATCACAGAGAAAGGAGCCTCCCTTGAGGAATACCTCCATGCGATCCAGATGTAAGGCAGATGTTCTCAATTAGTGATAAAGTGTGGGAGGGCCCCTTGTGGCTTGTGCCATCCCTGGGCTGGTAGTCTTGGGTTCTATAAGAAAGCAAGCTGAGCAAGCCAGGGGAAGCAAGCCAGTAAGTAACATCCCTCCATGGCCTCTGCATCAGCTCCTGCTTCCTGACCTGCTTGAGTTCAGTCTTGACTTCCTTTGGTGATGAACAGCAGTGTGGAAGTGTAAGCTGAATAAACCCTTTCCTCCCCAACTTGCTTCTTGGTCATGATGTTTTGTGCAGGAATCGAAACCCTAAGACAGATGTCAGGATATATAGTAACTCTAAAGTGGGGATCTCTCTCTCTCATTTGGTGTTCAAGACAGGGTTTCTCTATTTGTAGAGTTTTGTCTGTCCTGGAACTCACTCTGTAGACCAAGCAGGCCTCTAAATCACAGAGATCCATCAAACTGTCTCTGCCTCCTGGGTACTGGGATTAAAGGCATGTGCCATCACCACCAGCTAAAATGGGGATATCTTACAATTAGATTTCAATTGGCAGCACTGTTTATTTTTACCCGACAAATGATGGCCTATAAAAACCAGTATGACTGGATTTAGCTGAGTTGCTTGAGTGCTTGCCTACCTACATGCACAAAACCCCCAGGACCGTGTGAACTGGGTGCAGTGGTGTATGACTGTAATCCCATTGCTTTCGGACTACATACAAGAGGATCAGAAATTCAAGGTCATCCTTGGCTGAGTTTGAGGACAGCGATATGAGATCCTGTCTCAAAAAATTAAACAGAGCTCAGAGCCGAGTGTAGTGGCACAAGCCGACCCAGTGAAACCCTGTCTCAAAGACTGAAAGTCAGTGGAGCCTTGAGTCCAGTGGACAATGGTATATGACATTTAGTTCTAGCAAACTGGTAGTTTACAACAGACCTTTATGGTAAAGTAAGCAAAAAAGTAAAGTAGAATAAAATAAAATAAAGCTGTGTATGGTGACATATACTTTTATTTCCAGCACTTGGGAGGCAGAGGTAGGTGAGTTTGAGGCCAACCTGGTTTCTATAATGAGTTCTAGGACAGTCATAACTATGCAGAGAGACATTGTATAAAAAAGAGAGAGAAGAAGATAAGAAAGAAAAGAAAATCATACCTTTATGTATAACCAGTAGTTGATATGCATGGACCCATAATGGACCCATATGGAAAAAGCACACTGGAGATGTCACAGATTCCATGACAGTGTGCCCGGGTTTAGGATGGTAGCTGCTTCCTTATGAAATCACAGGTGTCTGTGGAGACCACTTTTGCTCCAAGGTGTTACCACTTGTGTTTGCTGTTTGCTTTCTAGTGAACCCTTTAAATATCCTGGGCATCAATTTCCTGGGCCGACGCCTGAGCCTGTCCATCACCATGGGCTGCACGGCTTTGTTTTTCCTTCTCCTCAACATCTGCACGTCAAGGTACTTACTCTTCGGTGGCTTCTACATACGTGGTGTGAAAGTTATCAAATGGGACTTCCTGACTCCAGTGGAGTCTGGAACATGTCATCTCAAAGGGAGAGTAGAGAGCAGCCTGTCTGTCAGACTAAAAGGCCCTCCCCTCCTCTGTGCCCTGCTTCCTTCAGCTCTCAGGGGATGTTGTACAGTGCCGAGATGCTCACTGTACCCACTAGTTTATTTAGGTTCTCTATGCAAAGCTTCTTGGAGATCTGGAGAACAGTCCTAGCTTTTTACCAAATTATCTGAACCAATAAGAACTAGCTCAGTGACACAGACAACATCTGTCTGAGGGCTGGAAGCATAGTTCGGGTGTAGAATACTTGCCTCAGATAGCAAGCATCACCCCAAATCTGCAACCCTGAGCAACTACTGATCTGTGAGTTCTATACCATAGGCCAACCAACCATAGATTGAAATAAAAAAAAAATTCATTCCAGACAGTGAAAGCAAACTACCTCTCTGTAGAGTATGAGTTCTGGCTAGCTACATGTCACCATGACACAAGCAAAAGGCATCTGAAAGGAGGGACCCTCAACTGAGAAAAGGCTTCCACAAGATCTCATTGTAGGGCATTTTCTCTTTCTCTCTTTCTTTCTTCCTTCCTTCCTTCCTTCCTTCCTTCCTTCCTTCCTTCCTTCCTTCCTTTCTTCCTTCCTTCCTTCTTTCCTTTCTTCCTCTCCAAGGATATATTTATTTATTTATTTATTTATTTATTTATTTATTTATTCATGATGTATTTGTTTTTATTTTATGTGCACTGGTGTTTTGCCTGCATATATGTCTGTGGCAGGGCATCGGATCCCTAAGAGCTGGAGCTACAGATGCTTATGAACCACCATGTAGGTGCTGAGAGTTGAACTCAGGACCTCTGGAAGAGCAACCAGTGCTCTTAACTGCTGAGCCATCTCTCCAGCCCCCATAGTGAATTTTCTTAATTAGTGATTGATAGGGGAGGGCCTCTCCTGTTGTGGGTGGTGCCATCTTTGGACTGGTAGACTTGGGTTCTATAAGAAAGCAGGTTGAGCAAGCCAGGAGGAGCAAGCCAGTAAGCAGTACCCCTCCATGGCTGCTTGTGCATCAGCGCCTGCCTCCAGGTCTCCGCCCTGCTTGAGCTGCTGTCCTGATTCCCTTCAATGATGGACTGCTATGTGAAAGTATAGGCCAAATAAACTGTGTCTTCCTTATGTTGCTTTTGGCCATGGTGTTTCACCACAGCAGTAGAAACCCTAACTGAGATAGCCTGCCATTGGTCTCTCTTTAAGATTTGTGAATTGGATCATTTTTGAGGTTTTCTTTATTTTTTGAAGTTATTATTACATCATTTTCCCCTTTACTTTCCTTCCTCAAATCTCTCCCATCCACTCTCAGCTGTCTTTTAGTGGCATTTTAAAACTTTCATTGTTACACACACACACACACACACACACACACATTCTAAATATGTAAATACATGCTGCTCAGTCCGTATAATATTACCTGTATGTTTGTGACCTCAGGGATGGTCATTTGGTGTTGGATAACCAGTGCAGGGAGGATGATTCCTTGGTGATAACCGTTTCTCCTGCTCTCAGTATTCCCAGTTGCTTATAGTTCTTTGTCTAGAATTGAGGCCCTGAGAGCTTTCTTCCATGTTAGCATGCCCATTGGTATCTTTGTTGTTCAGGTCTTGTTCAGGTAGCCATGATGAGACTTCATGGGTACAGCCTCTCTGACATTTCTAGGATACGTTTTTCTCAGAGCAAACTCCCTACGATCTTTCTGACCGCTCTTGCACAGTGGGCCCCGGGCGCAGGACATGTGTGGTGGATGTGTTGGTTGTGTCTGGTCACCACACAATCTCTTGTTCTCTACACAGCATTGCTCCTTAAACAATACCACACAGCATTTACATCTAACAAAGGACTAGGCGATCTAGTGATTTAAAGGAGAAATACGAGGGAGCTGGACAGATGGCTCAGTAGATAAGAACGCTTGCTGCTCTTGTAGAGGACCCAGGTTCAGTTGCCGGCACCTAGAGAATGTTTTACAACCACCTGAAATCCAGTTCCAGGGGATCTGATGCCCTGCTCTGACCTTCCAGATGAGCACATGGTACACATACACACATGTAGGCAAAGCAATTATACCAATAAAAGACCTTTTCCAAGGCCTGTGCTCCCCAGGGAGCATCAGGCCCGAGCAGCCTGCTTTGGTGAATGGAATTGTATGGAAACTACCTTAGGATATCACAGTCAGGTCCGTGAGGAGCAGCGTCCTGCCAAGGCTCAGAGCTTTGTGACACTGTCTTCGAAGTTCCTCTGTGTCTGTTCCTATAACTTCCTCTGCTTCTTCTTCAGTGCTGGCCTCATTGGCTTCCTGTTCATGCTGAGAGCCCTGGTGGCAGCAAATTTCAACACCATCTACATTTATACTGCTGAGGTGAGCACTGGGGAATGGTGTGACTACACAGGACATGCCCAGTGAGCTTTCAATTTGTGCATCTCCAACTGCTGTTAACCATTTGGCAAGTTTCTTAAAACATTCTATGAAAATGGTATCAGAGAGTTTGGTATGCATTTCCCCTCTCTTGTTCAGACTACTGAAATTCAGTTTCTCAAAGACAAGATCTCTTCCCTTTGTCATAAAATCAGAATGTCAGTCAAACTGGTCACTATGACAAATGCCTGAAGTAATTTTGGGGAGGGAAGATCTCTTTTAGTTCTGTCTCAGTTGTTCTGGTTCATGGCTATCTGTTTTACCCCTTGGTCTGTAACAGAGGTGCCGTGGTCAAAGGGTGGGGATTACCTCATAGCAGCCAGGAAGCCAGGGGAGGAGCAAGAAGTGAGGTGAGCTAAGATAACACCCTCAAAAGCACACGCCAGTGCCCACATCCTCTAAGGAGGCTTCCGAAGTTCTAGTCTATCCCAATTTTGAGTCCATTAGTGGATTAGACAATTGATTAGGACAGGCCTAATGTCCTTTATTAATTTAAGCAGCTCCACATCCAAATATGTCAACAATAAAAATTACTTACCATGGGCTGGGGAGATGGCTCCCTGGAAGAAGGCACTTGCTGCCAAACGTGACAATCTGAGTTCAGTTCCCCAGATTGATGTGATAGAAGGACAGCCCTGACTTTTGCGAGTCATCCTCGATCTCCACATGCACCTTAAATGCATGCATAGCCTTGCACACACGAGAAATAAATAAATGTAACTTTGAAAAAAAATCAAAACTGTATACCAAAGACAAAGAACATCTTCTATCTCGAAATACATCCAGTATTTTACAAATACAGAAACCTGAACTAGAAAGGGAAGGGAAGACGAGAATCCTGGGAAGACCAGTCACCAACAGGCATTTTCTATTCCTCTTCTCTGCAGGTCTACCCAACCCCGATGCGCGCTCTGGGGATGGGAACCAGCGGCTCCCTGTGCCGCATTGGAGCGATGGTAGCTCCGTTTATATCCCAGGTACCCAAGAAGGGTGTGCATGGAGACTGAACCTCAGTGGGGTGGGAAAAAGGGACCCCCGTGCTCTCAGAGTAAGGGTATATCGCAAGAATTTCTGCTTTATTCAGGGGCATCAATGTTTAATTGCGTATGGGCTCTAATTGTGAATTCTAGGTCTTGTGGAACTTGTCAGTCAGGATGGACTGTTGAAAAACAGGAAACCACCGGGGGTAGATCAGGAAGGCGGAGCCAGGGGATGGAGTGGGCAGAAGTCTGGCACAGGCTGGGATAAAATTCTATCTGTTTTTAAAAGAGGAATATTTATTTTATATAAATGAGTACACTGTAGCTGTCTTCAGACACACCAGAGAAGGGAATTGAATCCCCTTCCAGATGGTTGTGAGTCACTGTACAGTTGCTGGAATTGAACTCAGGACCTCTAGAATAGCAGTCAGTGCTCTTAACCATTGAGCCGTATCTCCAGCCCTGATGTTTCCTATCTTTCAATAGAGGGAATTTTGTGTCTACAAAGCTTTTAAACTCCCCCTGAAAGTGTTTCCTGTCTTTTCCTGTTACTTTTGTCTTGCACTGTTGCTTTTGAAAATTCCTCTCTACCTGTTTCATTTGTAGCACAGAAGAGCCTACCAGTGAGGGGCGCAGGACACCCACTCTGTCCTCCTGTGAGCAGATGGAGGCCAGGTTTCTCTCCCAGCTTTCAATGGGGATGGAGACTGTGGGTTCTCAGTCACCTGCAGGTTCTCCCCAGGCAACTGGCATTGTTATGCATCAGGCCACTTTGACTCTAGGGTCCTTGGCAACCGTCAGAAAAGATCACAACTTGGGCTGAGGCCTGAGGGGGTCTGCTGTGCTTAGCCTCCTGGGCACTAAGTAGGCTCCTAACTCTGGGTGGCTATATCTCATCTTTCCTGCACCTTCCACATTCTAAAATAGAGACGAATGAACGAATTTGCATACGTTTATCTGGAAGCTGAGACTATTTAAATGCAAAGCAGTTAGAGACATATATGACACAGCCTTTGAGAGACACTATATAATCAACAATCAAGGCCAAGTGCTACTCAGATAAATATTTCTCATCAAGAAAATAGTTTGGTGACTACAGATCAGTCCTTTCTTGTTAAGGTGCGTAACGGCTGCAGATGTTTAATACTCTAGACAAGATGAGATCTAAAGCATGAAGGTGGCCAAGGAAACAGCATTTTTACTGCTGAGAACACCATCTTTGATGACCACACAGGCATCAGTGTCAGCTCTGCAAGACAGGCCATCTGGCAGAGATGCAGGAAGACTCCTGCTTCTCTTTTCCACTGTGTTGAAAGCTCAGATGTGGTTCAATCTACAGAAGCATCCCTTGTATGGGGACATATTAAACATATTTCATGGGAAAGAGTTTAATATGCTTCATTATTGAGCACCAAGAAGACGCACACTGCAGTGTTTGGATATTATAACTACCTGGTGTTACATCATCATCGACTTTAAGGAACTGTGATGGGGGGAGGGAATGAGGGGAAGAGGGAACACGGAAATAAGAGAAACAAAGGCACTTTAAACCCCATCCAGGGGAACCAGTCACTATGTACTTTGCTTCCTTAACCAGTTTGGATGTGGAGAATTTAAGTCTGGGAAGCTTCGTGTCCACTCCCAAGGTATTGTCTAGCTTTCTCATGGAGTGAGCTGCTTCAGGATTTCCTTGGTGATAGCTGTCAATCTTAAGTGCTAGGGTAGCATTATGACATAACTATTCCTGGGGTCCACCCAGAGATGCAGACGGTCGAGACGGAGACTCGCTACCATTAAGTACCCACAGCAAAGTCTGAGTTGGCTGCTCTGTACACCGACTTCCTGAGGGAGGCTGTCCCGTCCACTGGGAGAGCAGCGGTCAGGAGCTGGCTTTTCCTTTTCACAAGGTTCTTTCTTTTCTTATTTTCTAAAACAGGTGATTCAATAAGTTCAAGTGAAAACTTTCCAGGCCTCGAGAGATAGCTTAGTGCTTAGAGTGTTTGCTGTTCTTACAGAGGGCTGGAGTTCAATTCCAACACCCAACACTCATGTTGGGTGGCTGACATCTGTCTGTAACCACAGTTCTGTGATACCGGATGTCCTTTTAGACCCCTCAGGTACTGCATACATATAGCACCCCCCCACACACACACACACATGCACACACACATAAAATATATTTTAAAAGTAAAAGCCGTATACATTAGTCAGTAGTATGTTTACATAATCTAAAGGCTAAACATATAAAGTTTAATTCAAATGCATCTTTTAAAGTGAATGTTTTGAGGTATCTAGTTGTTAGGAAATTAACTGCAATAAAAATAATAAAATCCAGGTTTACGTATTCCAAGCAAACAAAAAAGGAGAATCTTACTGTAAAATAAAGGTTTGCCACAGTGCGGAAGGGATCAGTACAAGACTTCTCGGGGGCTAGACCAGGGACTATTCTCCTTTATTCTAGGAAGAATTAGGAATCAGTACCTTAATCCTAGCCGTGTATCTTAGTTCATGATCTTATAACAATTTATCAAAGACTGAGACACTAGGGACGTGGCTCAGTTGGAAGAGTGCCTACCTAGCATGCAAGTATCCCTGGGTTCCAGCCCCTGCAATCTCAGCACTTTGGGAGGCAGAGGCAGGAGGATCAGAAGTTCAAGGCCATCCTCACCTACGTGGTAAGTTTAGAGCCAGGGCTAGGTGAGACCTTGTCTCAAAAACAAACAGGAAAACAGTTAGACTGAGAAGCTTGTAAATAACAGAGATTTCTGATAGTTCTGGGGACAGGAAGCACAGGACTACATGTCTGTAGGGCTGGATTCTGATGAGGGCCCTCTGCCTAGCTGGCTGATACACCTCCCAAAGGACCTACCTCCAAATAGAACATGCTCGCATCTGAGATTAGAATTTCAACATAGGAATTTTGGAGGGGCATATAGACCTACAGAGTCAATGACATTAGGAGTCCCTTGGTTCAGCGATGTATGATATACTGAGACCTTCTATAGATGGGTGGTTAAGTCCTAGTAAACGAAGGACTTTAGTACCACAGCCCGGTGTATGGAACAGCTAGGAAAAGTAGTGTGTCAAAGCAATGAAGACTGCCCCCTTGTGGCCGAACCTAAACAAGCCATCTTATTAAGTGAGACAGACCATCATGCAAATAAATGAAGGCACGCGAGCATGCGTCACACACATGCAGGCACACAACACGTCACAAAGGAATGTCAATGGGAAATTTCGCTCAGAGAATGGGGCAGGGCAAACAAACGGAGCCTTCGTTCAGAGGCAGGAGGTCTATTTACCTTGTATCCTCTTTCGGTGACTAATTTAAGAAATGATTTCTGGAGTGTAAGTCCCCCCTCCCTATGGTAGAATTTTTTCTGGTATCGGTATTTATGTAGCTCACTAACAGTCTCTGTCTTATGAAATAAAATTTTTATTCTATTAGTATATCATATTAGTGTATCATATTAGTATATCATATTAGTATATCATATTAGTATATCATAT